TGTCTCTGGTGAAGCCTCTCGCCGCCCCTGAGCCTCTGGCCTGTACCCCAGTTCTGTATGCACAAATAAATAAATCTTTAAAAAAAAAAAAAAGACATAAGCCCTACAAAGTAAGAACAATTTAGAATTTTCCATCCACTCCTACAATTAGGGACTCAATCTTATCTCAAAGATAAATTGGACAGACTACCAGAACTTTTTAGGAGAGGTATAAGCACCCTTAAATAATACATGTAAGAATTACTGTATAGGGCTAAAAAACCAGTCACATAGATATACCTGTTTTTAAGGAATGTCTCTGGTAATACACATACACACACCAGACACATAGCCCCCCATTCACCTGTCGATATTCAGTAAGCACTTTTTAGGAATTCTAATGAAAAGAGTCATTAAGACAATAAAGTCCCTAGAGGGACCAGACCTGGGGAGTATTAACACCATGTCTAGAGCAGAACTCTGGATCTTGTTCTAACAAAGGGAGGAGCTGCTTGTTAATTCTATAACTCTGGGGAATCTCAAGAAGAGAAGCAATGATGGGAAAAGGAGGACTTTCCTTATGAGGAGAGAGCACTATCACATCCACATGAATACTAGCATGGCCTATCAAACTTTCATTACTTGGTAAATGCAGGATATTTGGGTGTGAGTGTACTAATTTAGAAGTCATACTCAATGAAATTTGTACTAGTAGTGAGGTACCTGATAATGCAAAAATTTTCATAATCTTTATTCTTCCTTCATGATTCCTAATAGGACTAATAAAACTACCACATGTTTATTAACATTTGTCCCTAGCTGGTAACTTTAAAACACACTACTGGAATCATTCTAAAAATTTACCACCACGCAATCCTGACCAACTCTTGCTTGGCATGCGTTCCACAGATTCACAGTCAGATAGCTTGAAAAACTATTATAAGAGTAATATCATCAGATTTAAAAGGATGAGAAGTGAAAAGTAACAACAAAAATTGCAGTGACAATAAAAACACATTCTGTATTTTCTGACTGCTGACTCCACAAAATGCATAGCCATTCACCATATCTTTTACTTAAGAATCTGTTAATAAAAAATAAGCAGTGCTACTTCTTAGATTCTAGTATCACTAAACTCATCACTTGGATAAAAAAAGAATTTTTAAAAATTTTTCTTACAAAATAGGAAGAGAGAATCATCGTACAGCCAGCCAGGATGGAAGCCAGCACAACATCTGGTGGAATTTCCGAACCACTTCTACCAAGGATAGGGGTAAACATCTCAAATACTGCCCAGATGAGGTACAAGGCATAAAGATATGGGATAAACATCCCCAAAAGGTAAAATGCAATAAATTTTCCTTGGGCACCTAGGAAAAAAGAAAAGAAAGCATAAAATTCTGAAATCCTACAATTTAGATCTAGATTTTTATAGTACTGGTGTACGTTGGCACTTAAACAGAAAATAGGTTATATGTAACTAATCTTTTGGTCATGTTATCTATGAGATAACACGTTCACTCACATATAAGAAAGAAGTAGTGATATTTTAGTATGTATTCACAAATTTAAGAATTGGATGGGTTTAAGTAAAAAATGTGTGTGCTATAATTTTAAAGAAGCAAATTAGAAAGCCTACTCACAGATTTAAAAAAAAAAAAAAAAGAGCCTAGAAGCCTTATTTCATGTATTTTAACATATTTTTTCCATTAAAATCAAAACCAAAAATACCCTACCATGATGCTTAAACTCCTTGTGCACACAGAGCTTTGTAAGCAATGGAAATGCCACCCAGACAGCACTAATAAATGCTGAGCAAAGTCCTCGGTAAGTGAGAGTTATAAGGAAACCACAATGAACAAACAGCGAGATGTCAAAAAATACTTCTCCCAGATACTGGTCACTGGCATTCTGAAAGAAAAAAATATATACAAGCAGTCTCACACACTGGTCAGACATAAAGATCTTCTATTATCATTTCAATTGCACATAAGAGCTACATTTTGTTTTAAGCAAGGTCTAAACTTTAAAATAAGCATTACTGGCCCTTACAGCAGGCTAAAGCACAGCACTGAGAAGCTAAAGGCACTTCAGCATGAATTCGATCCCCGCCCTGGTGACCACATGGCACGTCAGACCTCTCCTGACCTGCCCGGTCTATCTGCCCGTTCTGCTCCCCACTCTGTCTGTGGTGAAGCCTCTCACCACCCCCACAGCTCTGGCCTGTACCCCAGTTCTGTATGCATAAATAAATAAATCTTTAAAAAAAATAAGCACTATCAAAGCTTCTGTCTTTGATTAAGTAGCAGTGAATTTACACTACTGCACAGGAAAAAAGGACTTAACAAAACCAGATAAACACATTATCATTACATGGATATAAGTGTGCTTTTCCTCCAGCTTATTGAGTAACATTTGTAAATGTTAAAAGCCGGAAGGATCATTCTAAAAATATCCACCTCCTTAAGTATTCCCATTTATGCAATGTCCACAGAATCTCAAGCACACTAAAGAAGTAACCTGTGGAACTGCACCTCCTGCAGCTTCAGTAGCACCCCTGGGGAACTACCTGAGGTGCAGAGCTCCTGGCCACGTGAGCTTTTGCTGAGTCTTTTCTGTCTCCAACTAGTCTTATTGTGCTACTTTATCCTTTACCTGGATGCCTGCCGCTTTTACAATATAAAAGGTGATGTGTCTTTTCTTTAAATATCTGAAGTCTGAGGGCTCCTGGACTAGACTTCAGAAGCTGACACGTGAACTTTGTACATTAAAACATCTGATAAGTGACTATATTAATGTAAGCATGAAAGTTATTACTAGGTAAAGAAATACCAAATGGAAATAGATATATTAAGTTTCTGTCCTCTGCCTCCTCATTTCTGTGTGCAACATGGCATATCTGCTATAAAGGAGCCTACATCAACAGCTCAGAAAAATTTCAGTCACATTTGCAAAAACAAGTTAAAGTACACTTGACATGCCCCTTTGGACAATGAAAGGCAGGCTGTTGTGATTTCGCATGATGTTCAACAGAGTACTGGTTAAAAGGCACTGTCACTGAAAAGAAGAAAACTCTTAGGTTTCGATTTAAAAATGACAGCCAATGTAATCAGTGAAATTTTAACTTCCCAAATTGTACCCAAAGATCGAACACTCTCAGAACATCGTTCTACTCACTTCTGCTGACTCTTCCCAACATCAACTGTTGCAATCTATCCCATACACTGTTAATGAATTTTTCATACCTACTGACATGACATTATCCCACTATTCTGTTCAGAAGATTTTAATGGTAACCACAATGTTTTCCATTCTCATGCTCCAACTTCATTATGGCCTGTTTTTCTAATTATATTCTCACTTTGTCTTCACCTTGCTGTTCTTGACAGTAACCTAAATGCATCTTATATACTCCCACTTTTGACTGCTCATCAAAATCTGTATCTTGCACACTTCTACTCATGCTTCAGAAAACCAGTTCAATGTTATCTACAACTCCACTAAGCCTTCTGACTTCCACAAACAAAATTCATCTCTCCTAGCCCTACAGTATAATGTACATATCAATGCATTTCATTTCATCCCAATGTACTATAATCATGTGGTTTCACCATCTTCCAAAATGAAATGGTGCTATTTAATGAAAGACTGCATCTAACGATTCTGCCTTAGCATGGTGCAAGGACCAGTGAGTAACTAAAAAATATTTGTATAATTTAAGTGACACACATTTTCTTACCACTGTGATTTCAGTTCAAAGTTATATAACTGAATAAGTGAAAGCAGTCCAACTAAATGGAATTTTTTAAGAATCTGTCTCTTTCTTACTCATCAATAAAACTCAACCACACTCTGGTTATATATCTTTGCACTAATAATAAATGTGAAATTGAATCCTTTGTGTAATAGTTTTGGAAACTGAAGTCACTAAGGATACAAATTTTAGCTCACCCATAAAAAAATGATTAATCTCAAAAAGCCTTCAATAGGGTTTGGTAATATAAAAGAGCTCACAGGATGTCATCCCAACATTAACTGAAACTGAGACCAAGGTTCAAGGACCAAAAAAAACAACCTTGTGAAAGGATGCTGGATTATAGTCTTCCATGTACCCATTGAAATCCCTAAGGGACAAATAGGCTGTCTTGAAAATAAATTGAGTGAAGAAAGTTTTCCACTTTAACTCCCTTAGAAAATCAGAAATCATGTTTTCACTGTAATTTATTTTGCGCCCTATTATTTTATAACCTAATTCCTAGCTGTTATTTTCATCATATGGGGTATTATAACCACAATAATATGGCAATGTTCTCTAAATCGGTATAAATCATAAATTCCCTTTCTTCTTTCCATAGCAATTTTACGTCATACATATATGTATGCTGTCAGAATTGTCATCAATAACAAACAGATGGGAAAAAACTGAAGGAACACTAAGTGAAGTTCAAGTGCAATATTCTTTTAGGTTGCAAATGCTGTAGGTTAATGATTCTTGTCAGATGGCTTAAGCACAGGAGCTATAGCAATGAAGAAAACAATTCCTGCCATCATGGAGATTACAGTCCAGTAGAGAACAGAGCGTCTCAAACACTTCAGTTTTATAAAGTCATTTGATTTCTAAACAAAACCCTCAGACTAATAAGCTTTTCATAAAATTAACACTATCCTGATGCTAGTTTTCTATAACCATGTCAAACTATTTTTGATAGCTCAAAAGGACAAATACATTGAATCCCATTTGATTTTGTCTTTAATCCTTGAAAGCTGCCAAAACAACAACAAAAAACAATAAATATGCTTAACACTTACCACATAATAAAATCTCTTTGCAAGAGTATGTATAAAGATTATTTTAGCTACAGCAGCAGTTCCATAGAGACAAACAGAGACATAGAAGTGGTTGTACCATGATAGTGACTGTCCAATAAGAGAGATGAACACTGCTATAATGAGAACGGTAACCAGGCTAGTAAACCAGCTTATCAGAGTGATGCCGAGTCCACAAAAGAAGTCCTTTGTATAGTTAGCAGCTAATGAAGAGAAGAAATAAAAATAATCATCTTAATCAAACAATTTCTTAACCAATCAACAGATACAAATGGGCAAATATTAAAACAAAAAAATTACCACTAATTGAAAATTACTAAAATGTTCTACGAGTAAAGTTTGTTAAGCACTACAGCAGGGAAGGTATTAACAAACAATATTTAGTTAACATTTACTGAGAGTCTGTGGGTACTAAACTTTACTCAAGGAATAGTTCAATTATATTGCTAACTAGGAAAGTGGGTAGTTTTAATTTTCACCTTTGAATGCTTTGTATAGCGAAGTATCAGCAAGAATGGAAGATAAATTCCCTTATAAAATCTTGCTAAAAGAAACTGACACAGGAAGAGAAGGAACATGGCAAAATTACTGGTAAAGAATTAAATGCGGCTAAATATTTTATCGATTAACAGCATATAACAAATTAGACTATGAGACATCTAAAATAAAAGATTAAACCAGAAGCATTTCATTCACACTTCAGAACAGTATGTTATTGATCTACAGTGTAAAGACTTTTCAATGCATTTTTCATTAAAAGTCAATGTGTATAAACCTTTTTTCAATGGCTCCTGGGGTATTTCTATAGAATATGTAAGTACAGAAAATTGCCTGTTTTACCAAGATTAACAGTATGTTAATCTGTTACACATCTACACATTTATTACAATATAAATCAAATGTTATGTTTTATGATTTTTAACTTCTTAGATATAAACTGACTAAAACTTCAGGCGTATTCTATATCCATATTTATATTACAAATTTAGAGGAAATTACTTACTCTTATGTTTGGGATGCAACAATTTTTTGCCCAGATACAAAACAACAGCCATAACCACTATGGAATTAATTATTAAGCCAACTCGAGATGGGTAGGCAACCACAAATAGGCCAAGCACATCAAAGAAGACCATGTTTCCATGTTGATATTTAGAAGAAGCAGCCAACATATCAGATGTAGCTAAATATTTAAGAACTGCTAAAATGTTGTCACCTATTTGTAAAAAGAAAAATAATGCAGTTGAATATAGCATCCAATGAGTAAAATAAAAAAGTTGTAAAGATTATACAGAAATAACTTTCTATCATCCTGCTATGCTCCTTCACTTTTCCTAGTAAATTTGTCAAAGAAAGCCCATGCCCTTACTCCATTTCCTCTCCACTTGAGATGCTTTAAATAGTGAAATATCAGCAAGAATAGAAAATAAATTTCCTTATAAAATCTTGCTTCCATTCGACATCGTCTCTTATCAGATGTATCTTCATTGCTGACAACCCAATGATTGCTTTTTAGTCCCCATTCATTGAATATATAATCATGTAGCAGACACTGTTCTAGATATGAGAAACTCAGTAGTGAATCAAAAGACAAAGGCCTCTCGGTCACAAAGAGTGAAGAGGTCCCTATACACGTTTTAAAAATTAGTAAGGAATGTCAACTGAATCTGAATTAAAAATGAGAGGTATTAGAGTCCCATGGGAACATACTGTGTGAAAGTAATGTAGTTTGAGAAGTCAGGAATGCCTCTATGAGAAAGATATTTATAGCTAAAAGATGAGTAGGACCTAGCTACAATGAGGGAAGTTGTATAGACTTAAGAAAAACAAATAAAAGAATGTCCTGAGGGCAAAAGCCAGAAAAGAAAAAAAGTACTGAATAAATACAGTATTCAGAAACAAAGCTGGAGAGTTGGGAGTATCATCTCAGGCAGAACCTGTAACATCAAAGGTCATGTGAATACATTTCACATGAATCGATAAAGGTCATGTGAATACATTTCACATGAATCGATAAATATGAGTTTGAACATTAACAGAGGAATAATAGGTGTATGACTGACATTTCTTCCTGTTGCTCACCCCATTCTTCATTTTCTCTTCTTTTCACTTAAGACATGCCATTGCCTCACCATTAGGTTTCCCTTTCATTTCTCCTTACATTTTCCCAAGATACAGGTTTAGTCCTACCTTTGCTTCACTTTCCCAAAAGGCATTTCTGTTCTCCATACATTTATGATTTCTCAATGCTTAAATTCTTAAACTCGTTATACCCATGTCTGCCAAGAGAATTTATGCTGTAATCTAGATACTGTATCTGTTTTTCCATCCCTTTGTTCATAGCTTCTACTTCATATGTCCAACAACAAACAATGCTCTCCTTCCCCTCTACACTAATGCGCTGGATGGTGGTTGCCTTTCCAAGTTTCTGTTATAGTCAATAGCATTATCTTTCCCCGGTCAATCAGGCTTTATACCTTTATACCATCATCTCTGATGCTATCCAGCTAACTCACCTCTTCTAACCTATCAAGTCTTATTGAATTTAATTTCAAAATTAATCTAATTTTCCAACCCTCTCCTTTCATTTCTGTCTTCTGTCAACACTACAGTGCAGACCCTCATTATTCCACACGTAAATTTTCCGAACAGCTTGACTCCTTTATCCTGGCCTCCCTATCCAATCTACACTATATCACCACAATAACAGCATTTAAAACCACTTTAACTGATTCACTGACATACTCTGGTCTCATACCTACAGCTGTACCTTGCTGAATGTTAAAGTCTTCTACAATTTTTTTCTATTCCATATATTTTTTAATTAATTTTCCTCTATTTCTGAAAATACAGTTTCCATTTTATTGATAGATTGTACTCTGACAATCTACTTACCAAGAATACCCCCTACACACACACACACATACACACACAAATACATTCTATTCATGCTGTGCATTTACTGGAATGTCCTCTTCTCTCCATGGGGACAAAGCCTACCAACTCTTTAAGGATCAGCATCAGACTCAGCTCCCCTATCTCTCACTTTAACTTCCTTGTCCCTGTGCACCTTATCCTATAACTTAATAACCTATCCTCATCATCTTCCCTGGATCAATGAAATTATCTTCTACACCTGGGCAAGCTTCCTAAATACATGATAGTGTCAGCTCCAATACACAGTTTCCATTTTGGCCACAGTCTCATTGCTCAACAATCCTACATAATGCTGGGTCAACTCTTTTTCCAATTGTTCACCATGAAAGTTCTTAGCTTTTTTCGTCTGTAGTCTTCAAGGATAACATTCAAGTCCTTATCTCAAACTCCAATACCCAAGTTCACTTACACCATATACTACCTTTCTAATGAACAGGCCACAGAATATTTATAGATTTACTGGCCATTGCTAATAATCCATCTTAAAGCATATCAAAAATCTAAATTAGAATACCAACCTGCTCTCTGAATGGAGTCAGTTAGAATTCTGTCCGCTGTGTCATACTTGGTGTGATAAATGTATCCATTTTCAATAAAAGCTAAGTCTATTCCTAAAACATACACGGAAAAAAAGTCATTTTGTTTAAAGATCAACGTTCTACCTTGCTTTAGGCCTAGTTTATGTATTAAATTCCTAAGGGACAAAATGTCAAAGCATTAACTTGACTGCTTTGTCATATTTATAAAAGAACGAAGAACTTTCCAAATTCTTACACTCTACAACTACTGTACATAATTCATTACATAATGACTGACAAAGTGTATCACTCTACAAAAGGTCATTGTAAGTCATAGCAAGAGGTAGGAATAATTAAGTTTGGGGATCATCATTACTTCCATCTATATGTTCTTGATAAGTCAGCACCAACTTTAGAGAAGCTGAACAATTCCCTAGGTGACTTTGCAAAGCAACATAATAATGAAAGTCAAACATCCCTAAAGTATCTATTGTCATCTTTCAGCTACACAGTTCTCCCCTCTTCTATAATACTGTGGGGCAAAATGACAAGTTCCAGAAAAGACAAATAATAATTTAGTCTAGAGTTTAAAAATAAAGCAAAAAAAAAAAAATCAGAAACTCTGTTTCAGGAGTCAAATTAAACATCTCTCAGAGAATGTGCTCTCAGAAAATGCTGTTTACTTTTAAATTTCCAAAACATAAAATATGCTTTTGAGGCCCTCCCTGGTGGCGCAGCGGGTTAAAGCACAGCACTGAGAATCTAAAACCGATTCCGCATGAGTTCGATTCCCGCCTGCCCTGGAGGTGACCACATGGCATGGCAGACCTCTCCTGACCGGCCCGCTGCTCCCCTCAGCAGTGTACTTCGTCGATCTGCCTGTTCTGTTCCCCACTCTGTCTCTGGTGAAGCCTCTCGCCGCCCCTGAGCTTCTGGCCTGTACCCCAGTTCTGTATGTACAAATAAATAAATCTTTAAAAAAAAAAATATGCTTTTGAAAAAACTATTGTCCCACAATAGCCCATCACCTTGACAAAATACCTGGAATATTTCCAAAATCCCTGTAGATACGAAAGTCAGTATCTGAAGGAATGATTCCACTCTGAAAAACCTCTTGAGCCACCACAGAAGCAAAAGGATGTTTAGCTGCAGAAACATAAGCTTGTACCAACCAAGGATTTTCAGGACCTGAAATGAAACATGACAATACAAGGTCAAATTGGCAATGTTTTAGCCTATTAATTTTTTTCTACATACCTAAAATATGTATGTGCTGCTTTGAGGACAAAGGTTCAAAGCATATTTTTTCCTGTATTTTTCATTGTTTCTCTAATAAATGTGATGACTTTTAAAATGTAAAATAACCTCTTGGAGAAACATTTTTAATTACAAAGTAACAACATTACCAAAAGTTTAGATTTAAAAATAAAAATATAGGCCTCGGCCCTCCCTGGTGGCGCAGGGTTAAAGTGCAGCACTGAGAAACTAAAGCCACTGCAGCAAGAGTTCAATTCCTGCCTGCCTT